TCTACGGTTTCTGTAAAAACCGTCGTCTAAAGTTGCTTTTAAACCATGTTAAACTTTCATTTTGTGAAAATCACTCAAAAATTAAAACGCTCGTCCATTCCGCCAATCTCCCGGCCCAGACTACGCTGCTAGCCCAAATAGTGTTGTGTTGGGTTTTTTTTTTGTGTAAAATTTGTTAGCTTGATGATGAAATTAGTTTAAGTTTTGTGGTTTAAAAAATTATGGATGTTGGGTTTTTGTTGTTTGTCTTGAATTTATTAGGTAGATACTGAAATTTGTTTAGGTTTTGTGGTTTTGAGTTTTATGGATGTTGGGTGTTTGTTGTTTGTCTTGAATTTATTTGGTAGATGATGAAATTTGTTTAGGTTTTGCGGTCTTCAATAATATGAATATTGGATTTTTATTGTTTGTCTTGAATTTATTTAGTAGATGATGAAATTTGTTTAGGTTTTATGGTTTTGAGTATTATAGATGTTGGGTGTTTGTTGTTGTTGATGATGAAATTAATTTAGGTTTTAAGATATGGAGTAGTGTGTCATGAATTTGGTATGTATATGATGAAATTTGTTTAGGTTTTATGATTTTGAGTAATATGGATGTTGGGTTTCTATTGTTTGTCTTGATTTGTTAGAGATGGATTATAATTTATGTGTTTGAGTAAGTGAGATATTTATTGTTTGGTTTTATTGTGTAGCAATAGATAGAAAATGAATGTTTGCAAAGAAGTTGAGTAATGAATATGAGAAAGGGGTAAAATTTATTTCCTTTGCAAAAAATACAATGAAAGGGAATATGATTCGTTGTCCGTGTGTGCAATGTGGCAATATTAGAAAACAATCAATGTAAGATCTTAGATTCCATTTGTTCCGATATGGCATTGATCGGACTTATCAAACATGGATATGGTACGGTGAAGAGGTTCCAAGTTCATCTTTGGCGGTTAGGGGAATTGAGAGGAATAATGTTGATATTGATTATGAAGATGATGGAAGTAACATGGTTGATATGATTAATGATATGGAGGAAGAATTTGTGCATCTATCGGAGTTATTTGAGAAGATGATGGATGATGCGGAGATACCATGGTGTAATGGGTGTATAAGAAGTATATTACATTGTCCGGATTAATTAGATTGTGGAACTTGAAGGCGTCGGATAGGGGTCAAATGCAAGTTTCACGGGACTCATAGAATTTCTAAACGATGCACTTCCAGATAATAATCAAGTGTCAGGTTTTATGTATGTGGCTAAGAAGACGTTGAGCTCTATGGGGATAGAATATGAGAAAATACATGCGTGTTCAAATGATTGTGTGCTATATCAGAAAGAATGTGAAGATTTAGAAGAGTGTTCGGTGTGCCACGAGTCTAGGTGGAAGAAAGATAAGAAACTGTCCAATGAGAGAAAAAGTGTGCCGGCGAAGGTGTTATGGTACATTCCAATCGAACCAAGATTAAAGTAGTTATATGAAAATTCGGAGCATGTTAAAAATTTAACTTGGCATCATGATAAGAGGGTTGGCGATGGCATGCTACGACACCCCACCGATTCTTCATAGTGGAAGACATTTGATGCAGAGAGTCTTGAATTTAGTGCGGAACCTAAGAATGTTCGCCTTGTGTTATCGGCCGATAGGATGAATCCGCATAGTAATTTTAGCAGCAAACACAATACTTGGTCCATCATCCTTTTAAATTACAATCTTCTACCAGATTTGTGTATGAAGCGAAAGTTCCTAATGTTGACCCTGTTGATTTCTGGACCTTATCAACTGGGAAATAACATTGATATCTACTTGGCACTATTGATTGACAAGTTGAGGAGGTTGTGGGAAAGTGGGATCGAAGTTAACGATCATTTCCGTGATGATTCCTTCGTACTCCGAGCAATGTTGATATGGACCATTAACGACTTCTCTGCATATGGAAACTTATCTGGGTACTCGGTTAAGAGTTTCATAGGTTGCCCAGTTTGCATAACAGAGACATCTTCGATCCGGTTGAAACATAAATAGAAGACGGTGTACAAGGAGATTCTTTCCTATGAATCATCGATACCGCAAAAAAGAAAAACTTTTAATGGTAAAATAGAAAAAGACCACCTCCAAGACCTTTGACAGGTAAACAAGTGTTTGAGATGGTCAAGAACGTAAAAGTGGTCTTCGGGAAGAAGAAATGAACAAATAATGAGTCGGTGATCGGACCTTGAAAGAAAAAGTCAATTTTCTTCAATCTTCCATATTGGAGTTCATTGTTAATTTGTCATTGCTTAGATGTCATGCACATTGAGAAGAATATTTGTGAGTTGATAGTTGGCACGCTCCTTGACATCCCCGGTAAAACTAAAGACGACCTCAATGGACGATTAGATCTCATGGAATTGAACATTAGAAGTGACTTGGCTCCTGAAAAAATAGGCTCATGCACTTACTTACCTCCGGTTAAGTACACATTATCGAGACAAGAGAAGAAGAACTTCTGTGAATAGCTTGCTTCTGTCAAAGTTCCAGAAGGGTATTCATCTAACTTTAAGAACTTGGTGTCGGAGAAAGAATTGAAAATGACTGGCATGAAGGCACATGATTGTCATACTTTAATGCAACAATTGTTGTCACTTGCTTTGCGTAGGATTCTAACAAGGAGGTCAGATTTGCACTTACTAAGTTTTGCTATTTCTTCAACTCTATATGTTCTAAAGTAGTAGATCTAATGATGTTGGATACACTACAATCAGAGTTGGTGATGACCTTGTGCATGCTAGAGAAGTATTTTTCACTAGCATTCTTTGACATCATGATTCATCTAACGATACACTAGTCCGTAAAGTTAGGCTTTGGGGGCCAGTGTACTTAAGGTGGATGTACCTTTTTGAAAGGTACATGAAGATTCTATGTTAAGAATAAAAATAGGCCGGAGGGTTGAATCGTGGAAAGTTACATAGCTGAAGAAGCTGTGGAATTTTTCTCGGAATACTTGTCTAACGCGGAAGCAATTTGTTTACCAAAGAAGGTAAACATGGAGCCAAAAGGTAAATCTGTCAGTATTCCTTCCTCGATTCCTCGCGAAGCATAGGAACAAGCTTGTCTATGCGTGCTACATAATACTCGTGAGGTGGAACCATACATAGAGGTCTGCAAAAAACAAATAAATGCGGCAAACACAAAAGGAGGGAGAAATGAGAAGTGGTTGCAATATGAACATAACCGGACATTTAGAGAGTGGTTAAGGACACACATTTATTCCAAGGTTTGCGAGTCAGGAAATGAAGTTGTGTCAGAAGACTTGTTTAAGCTGGTCAAAGGACCTCGTCGATGGTAATGAAATACACGTCATACTTAATAAATGGTTATACCTTCTACACTCGGGAGAGAGATGAGAAGCACCCAGTCCAAAAAAGTGGTGTTAGTCTCCATGCCAATGTTATGTATATTTCGTTTGTAAAATACAAGAATCTCCAATATGAAATAATGACCTACTACGATTTTGTGGATGACATATGTGAACTTGACCGTTGCGGATTGTGAGTGGCACTTTTTATGTGTAAGTGGGCCGACAATAATTATGTGAACATTGATAGTGACGACGCTACAATGATTGACTTTCGAAGAATGAGCTACAAGAATGATCCTTTCATTTTGGCAACGCAAGCAAAATAAGTTTTTCATACAATCGATCCCACTGATTTGGAGTTGTCCTTAGTTATTCCCATGAAGCCAAGAGATATTCGTAATGGAGAAGGAGATGATGATGATTGTAACGACATTCCATCGGTGAGTATAGGCTTGGCACCTGTTGACGAGGTTGATATTTTTTATGATGATGATTCAAACCTTGTCCATTTAGATGTTAAATGAACATGTGATGAAAATGATAGAAAGAGAAAAAAATGATAAACTATATGTTGTTATAATTTATATGAACATTTAATTAATATGTTGTTGTAATATTAATCATAAACTACATTTATTGATGTATTAGTTAATATTTATAATTTATTTTTAGTTAGAAATTTAATATTTTGTTTTGCGATTATAATAGTTCTGTGAATTGTGATAAAAAAGTTGATAACACACGAGATGAATAGTTCAACTCGTGGGACAACCAAAAAAAGCATGAATTTTTTATTTATTTGGGAAGAACATATAACGACAATTTTTTCATAAAACCGTCGTTAAATCTCAACATCAGACGACAGTTTTAACAAAAATTGTTGTCTATAATACGCGCCAACTCTATTTTTGACGAGTGTAGACGATGGTTTACTAAAAACCGTCATCTAATGTCATTTTAACAACGGATAAAAACCGTCATTATATGCCACATATATTTAACGGCTCGTGATTAGACGACAGTTCTCCTAACTGTCATTTAATCTTTATAATGACAATTATTAACCATCGTTAAATACCAGATTTCTACTGGTGTTAAAAGTGACTTATAGTCTACCTGCTCTTCTACTATCATTTTCTCGGGAAAATTCACCCAAGAAAGATACTAATCCTTAGCAGTTAGCACATAATGTAGTCGAGAGAAAATGCTAATTAGAAGGGCATTTCGTGATCACCTGATATTCCTAATAAAACAAAACAGCGGTAGTCATTAATAATACTGATTACGTATAGATAAAATTGGGGGTGTATATTTTAGCCACAAAGACTGTTTTATTTATCCAAATAATGTGATCCATTTTAAGTGGCATGAAATGGAATTAAATGGTTGGAAATGTGCACACTACACTAACCAATATATACTCACCAAAATGTTATAATAATTGATCTTGTAGAACGTACCTTCTGAACCTTTTCCCAAGTTATATCGTGGTTACCGAGTGGGGTTAACGTATGCCACGTTATTTTATTATAATTTAAATGAACTTATTGTCGTTTTGTTTTCTCTTGGTGTGTAAATATCCAACAAATATATATACACACACATACATATATATATGTATATATATATATATAAGAATATGGTTTGTGGTAAGAGGAGCGTCCCGTCACCTCAAGGGTGAGAGAGGCAAATCGCTTTGCTGTGATGTGGCGTGCGTGGAGGGGTAATTAATACTTATCATCTCTTGTACAGGGTTTCGCTATTCTGGAGTTCACACACACACACTATCTTCTCCGTTTATTCTTTATAAATAAAAGGATGATTTTCTACATCCAAGTATATATTCATGAGCTAGATAGATATAACATTTGACTAACGAATTGAGATTGCAATTTTCCACTGTCTTTTTGACTTCTTTTTAGGAGCTTTTTCTGCGTACAATCTCTTGGCCATATATAGCCCATAAGTGTGTATATATATGTGTTATATATACAAGTTCACTACCACTACTTCCTTCGATAGTATACAAGTTCCATAATTAGTAGTCTTAGCTTATCACTAGAAGAATCTCTCTGATATTCATGGAAGCCAAACGGTACACCCAAGATGGCACTGTTGATCTTCGTGGACGCCCTGTGCTTGCTTCTAAGACTGGGAAATGGAAAGCTTGTGCTTTCCTTGTTGGTAAGCGTCGTATACATACTCTTTCTCGTGTGTGTGTGTGTGTGTGTATATATATATATAGATATATTCTTCTGTACTTTATATTAAGCTGCTAAAATAGAGATTATTATTTCCGGCTGTTTTTCTTTTGTCAGTTTACCGTTCTGGATTGATTAAAAAATAATAATAATAGTTAAAGATATATCCATTACTTTATTATTTTTCTTTGCTCCATGTGAAAGTCTTGTACTAAATCTTACGATGACAAATGTTCTTTTTTTTTTGGTGGGGAATTAAGGCTATGAAGCATTTGAGAGGATGGCGTTTTATGGGATAGCCTCGAACTTGGTGAACTACTTGACGAGGCAGCTACATGAGGACACAGTGTCGTCGGTGAGGAATGTGAATAATTGGTCGGGATCTGTGTGGATTACACCCATTCTCGGAGCTTACATAGCAGATTCCTACATTGGTCGTTTCTGGACTTTCACTGTCTCCTCACTCATTTATGTCATGGTAATAATCATTATCATACGTCAATAATATCCACTAACTCTCCTATCATCTTTAATTTTATATTACTATCTTAATCTTGGAGATAACGCGCTCTTTAATTATACATTTATCTTGATCATTATCTATGTTAAGTGTATAGGGAGAATATTCTGAGTGGGATTAAGATTACAACCACTAATTAGTCTTTTCCAGGTTCACTTCACCACCTGTGTGGTTGTGGACAATAGATTGTTTGGATTTATTTTAATCTCAACCACCAATAGATTTTTATAATTTTTGCATGTGGGACCAATGAGTGACTGGATATCTGAACAAATGAAAACTTATGATCACTTCTGGCCAAACAAAAAACAAAAAACAAAGAGAGAGGACGAGAGAGAAAAGAAGGAGAAGAAAAAAGCTTATGAATAATGATCTCTAAGCTTAAAAAATTAGCCAATTGAGGCGAGCTCAATGGATGTTTAGTGGATATGTGCGCTGTTTTTAAAAAATATCGAAGCTTGCTCTATTTATTTTATTTATATATAGTAGTTACCCTGTCCATTTTGCACTAAATAGGATCTAATAAATGATTCTGTTTTAATACCCCGCATTTATTGAAAATGTGAACTTACTATTGAAGTGAGAAAGACATGAATTTTGTACGTATTGACAAAAACACCTATTAATCAAACAATGAATAATAGGCCCAAAGCATGTCATTCAAATGAAAAATTAGGAAATCATTGAAATTTCGCATCTCCAACTACATCTTTACACTTATAACATGGTTTTTTTTTTTTTTTTTTTCTATACCATGTGTTCCACGTGCATGATGCAAATTGGTTGAAGATATTTGTTTCCATTTCCAATAATATTGACAAAGTCACATTATCTTTTTTTTTTCCGTTCCTATACATTATAATGTGCATGTATATATGGTTTAATTTACGAATTAGTAACAACAATAATTTATATTTAACTTTTGAACAGGGAATGATGCTTCTGACCTTAGCAGTTTCACTCAAAAACTTTAAGCCAACTTGTAGAAATAAAGTATGCAACAAGGCCAGTGATTCACAGATTGCTTTCATCTATTTGGCTCTCTACACCATAGCAATTGGTGCAGGTGGTACCAAGCCCAACATATCCACCTTTGGTGCGGACCAATTTGACGATTTTGACCCCCGCGAGAAGGAGCATAAGGTGTCGTTTTTCAATTGGTGGATGTTTAGCTCCTTCTTGGGTGCTCTATTTGCCACAATGGGACTTGTTTACATTCAAGAGAACTTGGGATGGGGTTTGGGATATGGGATTCCCACAGTTGGACTCATACTCTCTTTATTCATCTTCTACTTAGGCACACCAATTTATAGGCACAAAGTCAGGAAAACCAAAAGCCCTGCAAAAGACTTGATTCAAGTCCCAATTAATGCCTTCAAAAATAGGAAACTTGAGCTCCCTAGCAGCCCTTTGGAGCTTCATGAGTTTGAGCTTCAGCACTACACAAATACCAGAAAGCGGAAGGTTCATCACACTCCAATGTTCAGGTAAGCTCTACTAACTTTACTCGTGATTTTTTTCCCATTGATTTAAATTATTCTTGTTCTGATCATGGAAGTGTTTTTAGCAGTAGTACCGTTGTGTTAGATAGTGTTGCTCAATAAACACAAATTAGCATTGATTAAGCTCTAAATTATTGACTAATGATGAAACTTTATTATTGCTAATTAAACAGTTGTAGTGCTATAATTTAGACAGAGCTTTCCTTGATAGGCTTAGTAGTGCATGTTTCATTAGATTTGATCAAAATCACGTCAAAATGAAAAAATATATAAAACTAATTGAACCTGATGTTGGGGAGACATCACATGCGAAACTGGACTAACACACTTCAAGAGCCTAACTTGACCAAAAAATGTTAACCTATCAGGTCTTGGGTACTTCCATGTATATAAACCACTTCACATTCTCATCCACTTTCTATGTGGGACAACACACATGCATTTTTTTCAACAATCTCCCCCTCATGTGTGTGTTCACCGAGCTCCCCCTCAAATCAAAGTGTCTAGTAGTCGTCACATCCAAGCATTACATTCCAAACGGGAGCCAACTTGAGCATGGAAAAGAGAGCCGAAACCATGCGAGTCCACCAATGCTCCGCCAAACTGCGGAAACACCAACTCTCTACATGAGGTAACGTGAGAACTACAACCGAGTGTGATCGCTTTGCTCATACGAACCATCGGCTCTGCTACTACTTGTTGGGGAGACACCACATGCGAAACTGACCCAACACACTTCAAGAGCCCAACTTGACCTAAAAAGTTAACCTATTAGGTCTTGGATCCTTCCACATCTATAAACCACTTCACATTCTAATCCATTTTTCATATATGACAACATACACATACACTTTTTTTAACACTTGATACAAATCTGATGATTCAAATAAAACCCAATAGAGTATTTTTATAATAACCTACCAAAAAAAACTCATAATTAAAAGACTATATATTCCACAAGATTTGACAAATTTTTGTTGTTATTGGCCCTTTAAGTACGTGGGGGTTTGTATAGTATTGTACGGATGGTGTAACATTTGGAGCCAATAAATGATAGCCTTTTCCATCTAGGATAGAATCTAAAGAAAATGGTCAATTTAGAAAGATACCCATCCGATCCTTTAAAAGGAGTTGGTGGCTGAGTAAAGATGTAATCAAAGGGTATGTTCTTTTGTCCAAAAAATTTAAAAAAAGAAAACTCAAGTTTTAACTTTATTTAAGTTCACGTTTTTTTAAGTTTCAACTTTATTCAATTTTATTCAACTTTATTCAAATTCTAATTTCAACTCAAGTTATAACTCAAATTTAACTCAAAAATTATATTCAAGTTACATTCTAAAAGAATAACCTAGTAATAGCCGCCCACTGTGTGCATTTTAACTAGGAAATCTACTATGCAAAAAAGAAATTGTAGGGACTTGAAAGGACCCCATTAGGTTGGGTAGGTCTTTCTATTTCTCTAATAAATTCTTTCCATGTGCACTGTTCTCTGTTCTCTATAATGAATGTTGGGAATCTTTTTAACCAACTTGTTGCTGATATGGAGGAAGAGGAGATATCACCATGGACGGCCTGACATTCCTGCCCCACCATTGTCTCATGTCCAAACAAAAACTGCAAATCAAACACAATATATGTAGTTGGTGGTGGCATGCACAATCTCCACTACTGCTATCAATAGTACTCTTTGAACTTAAAATTTATAGGAAAAAAGATTAAATCAAATCCAACTACAATTAGCATATATTATAATGTATATAAACAAAAAGTAATCTATAATTCGTATATTTATCATTTAGAATCCTCAAAATATTTTTACCAAAAGAATACGCTAACTTGCCATGGCTAACCCTTAGATTATCTAATCAAACGCGCGCGTGTGTATATGTGTGTGTGTATATATATATATATATATATGTGTGTGTGTGTGTGTGTATGTATGTATGTATGTATGTATGTATGTATAAGAATATCTGGGAAAATGGTCTTTTATAAAGGATCATTTTAATAAGGATCAAACTTTGTTTAAATCAGAAACATGTCTATTTTTTTAAAAACTGATCAAATTGACTGATTGAGTTAGTAGTCAAAAACTGATTGACCGACATAATAAGTGTTTAACTAATTTTAATCAACAATTTACTGATCAATCATTGAGTGATTGGATCTCGTTAATAAATAAATTAAAAAAAAAAAAAAAGAAGGAATAGCGTTCAGATATTTTTTCAAAAGAGGTGGCTAAAACCGGCAATATATAGCTCACCTAATATCTCGTATACATATAAATGTGGCATACTTTGGGGCAGCAACAAATACTGGCAATGGACAAAGTAAATTAAGGAATTAACCATTTGTGACTAAATTCAGGTTCTTGGACAAGGCTGCAATAAAAGATGGAAATGGCATGGACACCTCAAGACCACCGTACACCGTTACTCAGGTGGAAGGAGTCAAGCTCGTATTTGGTATGCTCCTAATATGGCTTGTGACGCTTATCCCAAGCACCATTTGGGCTCAAATCAACACTCTCTTTGTCAAACAAGGCACCACCTTAGACAGAAGCCTAAACTCAAGATTCAGCATCCCGGCAGCATCTCTAGGCAGCTTTGTCACCATCTCAATGCTCATCGCCGTTCCGATGTACGACCGCTACTTCGTACCGTTCATGCGCCAGAGAACTGGGAATCCCCGAGGAATCACGCTTCTCCAAAGGCTTGGAATCGGATTCGTCATCCAAATTTTCGCCATAGCCATTGCCTATGCGGTCGAAGTTCGCAGAACGCACATCATAAAAATGCACCACATTGCAGGGCCTAAGGAAATTGTCCCCATGAGCATATTCTGGTTAATTCCTCAGTACGTTCTGATAGGGATAGCTGATGTTTTCAATGCGATTGGACTCTTGGAGTTTTTCTATGATCAATCACCGGAAGATATGCAAAGTTTAGGGACAACTTTCTTCACCAGTGGGATAGGAGTTGGGAATTTCTTGAACAGTTTCTTGGTGACAATGGTGGACAAGATTACTGGGAGAAATGGAAGGACAAGCTGGATTGCGAATAACTTGAATAACTGTCACTTGGATTACTATTATGGGTTCCTTTTCGTTATATCTACGCTCAACCTTGGAGTATTTCTGTGGGCTTCAAGTAAGTACATTTACAAGAAGGAGTTGAATGAAGAAAAGGAGGGTTGTGTACTTGAGATTGAGCACAAACCAAAAACCTTTGACACGTCTCCTTTTGGTTTACAAGTGTGACAAAAATAACTAAATAAATAAAAATAAAAAACTTAACAGAAAGTTTCAGTTAGACCTTTTGTACTCTTTTTTTATGTTATTATTACGAGATGCTTAAAATAGGACGTACGTGTTTAGTTGCTCTTTTTTATTTTTAGGTATTTCCTAATCTCCTGATCTGAAGTAAGATTAATATAAATAAGCTCACTTGATGTGGCATACTGATTTAGCTTCTCATTTTTATCCTCGCCCTTTTTGCTCTAATCTTGTGTTAAAATATAAAATTATTGTTGGCCCACCTCTTAATAGCTTAAGCTTTTGGGGTGGATTGATAAACTAACATGGTATCAGAGCGGGAGGTCATGAGTTCAAACCCCCTAATTGCACTCTTTTTTCCTATTTAAATTGTGATCATGTATTGGGTCTTAACTAGGGAGAAAGAGGGAAATAGGCCAAGACTTGAGATGAATTAAAATTAATAGGCAAATAGTTTACATAAGTTAATAAATAGGCCAAATTATTATTTTTGTCCATAACTTGTCTGGTTATGAACCATAACTTGACGAGTTATTGACGGTTTTTGTCCATAACTTGTATGCTATGAACCATAACTTGACAAATTAGCCCATAACCTATCTGGTTATGAACCATAACTTGACAAGTTATGGCCTATTAATTTATATAACTAAAAGTTGACCTATATACTTCCTTAAGCTTTTCATATTGATATATTTTCTACTATTTCTGTTAATATATTTTGGGCTTAAATATTCACGTGTTGGGCTTTCTAATTAATTTACTCACACGATTGCCCATTGTTCAATCCACACGTGAGGGAGAGTGTTAAAATATAAAACTATTATTTGCCCATCTCCTAACAGCTTAAGTTTTTGGGGTGAATTGGTAAACTAACATCTTGATTGTTATTTTTTTTTTTTTTCCTGTGGGACTATCTAATGGTATACTCAATGTACCAATCCTGTAATGTTCTCAGGCATTATGAAGAAACCTCAAGGTCATATTTAGCATTTTATGAAAGGAAAAAAAAAAATTTAAGATGTAATTTTAAAATTGTTAGATCATTTTAGAATCATATGAGATTGAGAATATGATTATTTAACGACATTTGATGAAAATTTACATCTGTGAATTTTGCCTGTTGGTTAGGACGTGATTTTCATACCGTATCGTAAAATAATCCATACCATTAAATTTAACATTGTCTGCCACAACGTTAAAAGCTAAAAACTCTTGATGCCTTGCCCGCTTTATTAAGGACGTGCATGCCGCACCCAACGTTAAAATGAAATTTTAAAAAAAAATTTCTGGTTGTTTTCTTATTTTTTGGATTTAGTTAAAGTAATTCTAAAAATGGAGCTCAAACAATCTAAAAATAGAATGGAACGTGGACAAATTAGAAACATAAGTCTAACCGATTTGATCAGGTCTTCTCAAGGATTGAGAGGCTCTAGGGAAACGTTTGACCAAGCAAAGGCTTTCCACTTCAGTATTTCTTGACGTCTGGACAACTCCAAACTTGCTTTCTAGTTGACTGTTTGGACTATTTTTATAGAGTTTGACTTCTTTTCGAAGGCGAGGGTAGAGGGCAACCGGAGACAGTCTTGATGTGGGCATTTGATCTCTTTTGACCACTTGAAACATGGGAAAATTTGTTCTTCTTTTGCTAATGGGCAGCTTTCAGAGATGGATTTTGGGTTTATTGGGTTACCAATGGTAAGAAATGAGTTTTATTGGCTATTTCTCTATCACTCGTTCGTCTTAAGGGCTTTATACAAAAATGAGTATCTACATTATCTAAATTCAATAAGATTGTCATTTTCACCTATATTATCTAAGTGAGTAATTTTAACAAATACCTCTTAAAATGGTACCACTAAAGATTTTTTGGTCTCAATATTAGCCTATTGAATTTTGCCTTTTTAAAGTAAGTAATTTGATAGATTATTATCGATAATTTGACCGATATCGTCGGCGGTAGGTCTCCGGTCGGCGGTGGATCCGCCGCCGCCGGCGGGGGCCATTTAACAGATTATTATCTAAAATTTAACAAATTATTATCTATAATTTAACATATTATTATCAAAGGGGTAATCTATCACAGTAAAATAGAACTCCAGAATAATGTGTTTAAAGATCAGTTATTGCAATTTTCTATATCTAAGTTGATTAAAATGAAAACAATTACCATTTACCATTTTAAAAGAGTGCTCGGGACTCCATTGTTATTTTAAAAAAAAGTGATGAATAGAACTATTATTATTATTATTTTTAAAAAAGTGATTAATAGAACTTGGGAGGTCGCCTTGAAAGTCAAAAAGACAACACATTATATTCAACGACATCTTTTTTTTTTTTTTTCTTTAAGTTTCATAATATTGTTCGTAGCAAAAGTTAACAAGCTTGAATCACAAGTCATAAGCATATATGCCTAATTGGTTTGACTATGTAAATGAAAATGATTATAAGTTATCTTCTAGCTTTAGGTTATCAAGTCATAGACATAACAAAATGGTAATATTCCTAGCATATTGTAACGATTCAATTTCCGTACATTACATAGATGATTTGAATCCGCAAATTAAGAAGTTAACTTGATTGAGAAAGTCACCTTGGAAGTATACGTGTCACTGGAACAAACGGTAAGGATAAAGATTAGTAAAGTGGGGCTTGAGTTTGGATGGGCACAAGTTGATCTCAAATTCTATAACATTTTTGCCTCACCAAATGAACAGGATTAAGATTGGATTTGATTATATTTTATAACTTTACCATACAATTTGATCGATATAATAAATAACGAAATTGGAATGTTTCTCGTATAACAGTAGAATTTCGTGTATATGTACATAGATAAATTTTAAATAATTCCGTTTCTATCAATAATTACCTATCAAATATAATGTGTCCGCCACTGGCTGCAACCAAATGAATCATGAATATATATGATGATCAATTCAGTTACATAGGGTCCTTACAGAATGTGGATTTTTGAATTACTTTTGTCCAGAACTCGTAAATCTTGAAAGCTGCTTTGTATGTTATATATTTGCACGCAGTTTTCAGTATTTGTGTGAATATATATTAAACTAGTTGAAATAGCACCTTGAATTTTTTTTAACATAAAGATCTAATTTTTTAAAAAAATATTTTTTTTCAACTTACTATTCTTTAACAGTTTAGTTTAGTAAAAATTACAAAATAAAAAAGAAATAAGAAAAAGGAAAAGATAAAAAATCATTCAAATGTTTTTAAAAAAAAAAAAGGAAAAGAAAAGAAAAGATTATGACAAGTGTCGAAAGGAAAAACCTTCTTACAGAGACACATGTTTAAAGGAAAAGAAAATTTTTCGGCTTTTTTATGTATGTAAATATAACGAGTTCTTCTTAAAAATTATTTTAACAAAAACTTTATTTGTAAAATAACTTCTTTAAAATATTAATTTATAAAATAATTTTGAGCTAACCAAACAGATACGATCACTTGTTACACGATGTGCCATCGAGTGACTTGCTCAATGTAAAAGTGAAAAAAGATAACCTATCATGAACATTTGCGACATGAATTGATCTTACCAAATAAAGGTGCTTCCAACGTAAGGAAAAAATTTTTTTTGCCCTGAAGCTTCTCTAACCTATTAAAATTACTTTCTTTCAAAGAAATCATCCGCGTTTCATTCGTTTTGGTGTCAATATTAGTGGTTTTGTTGAAAAGTGAGGGGAACAAAAGGAGGCCTTGCATGCGAGTGATGCGACTCCGACATTTGTTTTTTTTTTTTTAAGCCTGCAGTAAATGGTCAAAGAGTTTAATCCTATAGCAAAAGAGTGGGGCAAAAAAAAACAAAGAAAAAGAAAAAAAAAACCGAATATTTCCCTTCTAATTAATGGTCCTTTTGATTCTTTGCAATTGGTACTTGGCCCCACATACTGAAGAACATAGATAACGAGGGTTGTTTAGTAGGATCCCACTTTTGACAAATAGTTCAACAACTACTAAAGCTTCCTTTGACAATTAGTTGTGAACCAGATAACATATTATTGTCATAAAAACTTTACTTTGTCAAACAAAAACGCGGTGAAACCTTTAATCTAATCCTCAAATGTTTGTTATTCTAAGCTTTTTGAACGTGTGCTAGTAAACCCCATGCACTAAGATTCTACGTGTTAGGTCACCTGCCGACGCTAATCACCTTGGGAAGGTCCGCTAGACTCTATATAAATGTCACTTAGTTTGTACTTGATTAAATCAACTCAAGAATATCACACATTTACAAGTGCTTGAAATCTATCTTATAGTACGTACTTGTACTATTCAAACAAATGGCTTCGTTTTCTTTCTCAAAATTTATGGTCGTTGCCAATTTGGCTCTTCTTGCGCTCTTGATGAGCAGTACTACTAATGCCAATGCTCAACTCTCAACCAATTTTTACTCCAAAACTTGCCCAAAGCTCTTCCCTGCGGTCAAATACGCCGTGCACTCCGCTGTTGCGAAGGAGGCCCGCATGGGGGCCTCTCTCCTCCGCTTGTTCTTCCATGATTGCTTTGTCAATGTAATTCTTCTTCTACTATTTATCTATTACTTTTTATTTTAATGAAGCCTCAGTTTGGTTCATAGATTTTTTAAACTGCATGCAGTTTAAACTGCGTAGTATTAATATTTTAGTATTTTATAAGTTTACTAAAAGTTTTCAAAATATTAGACTTAGCGTTGGCCAATGGCTCAAGAAAAGTACTGCATATGTCAAAAGTTCATTGACCTAGATATATATATTAATATAATAAAGTAGTCTTTGAAATACAATTTTGTATGTCATTAATTTATATATTTGTTATTAATTTTAACCTCCTTGTATCCAACTATTTTAGTGATGAGGTTTTCTCTTGTATTTCTTGGCAGGGCTGTGATGGATCAATTCTCCTGGATGACACGTCTAACTTCGTCGGAGAGAAAACCGCGACTCCCAATCGAAACTCAGCCCGAGGATTTGACGTCATTGACAACATCAAGTCCGCCGTGGAGGGTGTATGTCCCGGTGTCGTTTCATGTGCTGACATTTTGGCTATTGCTGCTAGAGACTCTGTTGAATTTGTGAGTCCTCTTTAAGTTTGCAACTCTTTTTTATTTTTTTTTATTTTGTGTGTGTCTCGCTAAGTACTAGTTACAACAAACCAA